TACTAAGTAGTTCCAGCGTTGACCGCTCGATAGCGCCGCTTACCCGCGCTAGAAAAAATCAGTCCGGGAACTTTCCGGACAAACTGTGTATGCGCGTGTGTGTGTTATAAATACGTAATAACGATAAACGACAAATTCGATCAATGTTTACAGATTTAATATTATATTGTTGCTTAAGAGAGTACTGGACTATAGAGCCCTGTATATATATATATATAAACCGACGTTTTCAATTTTTCTCTGATTTCGTATTTACCGCATCAAATCAAAAATGCTTTTACAGAAAAAAAGTAAATTGTGCTAAAAGTTTGCGCTCTTTTTTTGAAATGTCAAACCTTATTATTTTTTCTTATACAGTTTCCTTCTATAACCTTAGCATATATTTATGTGTATAGACTTATTTTTAAGCTTATGTACATATTTACACTTTCACAGCGCAACAAGTACAAAAAAGAATCTAATGAGACACCCAGATTATGACTGGAATGTGTAGTTGACGAGAAAAAGCGATTCTCGTAATGACAGTATAGGTTATCGTATGCTATTTTTGTAAATGAAAAAAGAGCATTATATACCCATTTTCAAAAGCACTATGTAGTTTTTTATATTAAATTCTTTCTGTAGAAGCATTTTTCATGTAATGCAGTAGAAAAATTAGAAATTAGAGAAATTTACGTTTCTAAAACGTCGATTTACAGGTCTCTATAGTCGGTATCCAGTACTCTTTTAACAAAATATTTCTATTTTATTTTTGTTTACAGTGGTATCTGCTCGCGGTCAAGATGGCGATATTTATTTTTCGGTGAGCCCCGCGGAACATTCGGTCGTTGAAGGATTTCCGGTTCGATTAAGATGCGAAGCTCAGCCGAGCTCGCATATCAAATATTCGTGGAAGATGGATGGACAGCCGCTTGCTCCCAGTCCGCGAAGACATCAAGTCGAGGGTGATCTTTATATCACCAGAGTCAACCGAATTTTAGACAGCGGAAATTTTGTCTGCGTGGCGACACACGAGGGAACTGGCAACTCGATCGAGAGCTCGCCTGCCAAGATCGACGTTCAATGTAAGTTCTATTATTTTCATTTTTATATATACACACATTTATCTCTTTTTTGTTTAATATTTATATATTTATAGTATTTACTTTTTATAATTGGTTTAAAACATTCTAAAAATTGTTGGTAAATATTTACAAAAGATCAACCTTTTCAGAAATCAATGACCTTGACATATATCGTCAAGGACATCTTGCTGAATAATAATCAAAAGATTTTAGCCGTTTCTCTTTGTTTGTTAAAATGTTATTCATAAAAAATATGGATAATTATACAGTATAGGATTAGGAAAGGCAACTTTGGTTACTTTGACCTTGACATATGTTGTCAAGGATGCTCTTCTGAGTAATCTCTAGGTGGTTTTGACTGATGCTCATTGTTCATTAAAAGATTCATAAAAAATATAATCACATTAATGATTGTTAAAACCCTACAAAAGTTCAAAATTTAGAAAAGTGTTTAAATTTAGGGTAAATATGGATTTTAAGTCACACCTTACCGATTTCGTGTCGCTTTAGATTTGTTGTAGAGCAGGTCATACTCAGTAATTATCTATAAAAAATTTGCGGGATACGGCTTTGTTTTAAGAGATGACAATTTACATTTTTTAGAATTTTAATGCTTTACTCTAGATATTATAACCTGATATTACGAACAGTGACGTTTGTGTATGTCGGATTGATGTTGGAAAGCTACAAGATAATTCAAATTGAATTACCTACAAAGTAATTCACTTTGTCAATAGTTTGCTTCACTATTTCTCGCAGTTCGTTGATAGCTTTTAACATACGACTTCTTAACAAGACTACGGAAGTCATCCCTTATTTTTTCTTATCAATTGCATAGGTTCCGATTAAATGTCGTTTTATGTCAAAAGTGTGTACGTGGTTTTTTCGGGAGGCAGAGAGGCAAAGTCTTTCCCCCTGCGGAGCCTCCTCTATCTACACGCTTACAACACGAACAAAATGTACATGGTGTCGGAAAATAATAGTTTATTTATGAAACTTTTTTTGTTAATAACTTTTTAACAAACAACGAGCGACAGCTAAAACCTTTTGATTGTTACTCAGTTAGGTGTTCTTGACAATATATGTCACGGTCATTAATTTTTGAAAGAGTAGCCCTTTTGTAAATATTTACTAAGTTGTATTATCATATCTAATATTGAATAGATTTGAAGTTTAAATATGTTGCATTTATCATTTTTATTACTTTTTTATAGTTTATTTTACGACTTGCCACTAATTTTTATTTTAATAAGTTTAAGATAATTTATAATATATAACATCTAGAGAAAAATATTCAATATTTACTTTATGTAATGTATTAGATAAATATTTTAAATTATAACATAGTTATTGTTATTACATAATTATTGTTTACATGTCTATGTGTATAATGTTGCAATGGAAAAACATCTGAATCAATTAAAGTTTGTTCTGCTAGCGCGGAAAATAATGCGCGAGTTAATGTATAATATGCATATACAGCATTGCACATTAAATCATTGATAATGACCCAACATACCCTACAACTCGAGCTCGTGTTGTACGCGCAAAGTGTACTACACATTTCATATTAAACGCATATCTACCTAAATATGCTTTGACAAAAAATACTCAAAATAATTTTAGTGCTCATCTTAAACAAACTTCATTTTGTATCAAGAGAGATCTTCTAGCTTAAAACTATATTTAATTGTATAGTTTTTTAGCCGGTTATAAAGTTCTGTTTATATTACCCTTTTTAAAAATATTATAGTTGCATACTTATGCAAGTAACATTAAGCTATTACTAATATGTATTTATGATTTATATATGTGTCCATCAGTGTAATTAGCCGCTGAATGGTGGTTTAATATTATCGTGTGTATCTTTTTTTCAAGATTAACAAACGGTAATATGTTTTATATTTGTGTGTCGCGCTATCTGCAAAAACTCGGATTAAGGAGTAGCGCGACAGTCCGATGCGAAAGTTTTATGTCTGAGTATAGGTTAGGTTAGGAAACCCTACTTTCTAGCGGGGGGTACCGGCCGAAAACTTTTGTACAGTCTGCCTTCGTACACAGAGAGAGTATCTGTTTCGATGCACACATACTATGAAACGTTGTCCAGAATGACGATCTGGCAACGTCGCTATCTACTCTCACACGCTAAATAACAAAAAAACTTCAGTTCTTTTTATCACTATATCTTTAAAACTAAACGGTCAATCATTTTAATTTTTTTCTAATGTTCCTAAGAGTCTCTTCTGCCATATATCCGTTTTTGGTCACTCTCTTGTTATTCTTTCTTATTATAGAATTAAAAGTACACGATTTTTGTATGAATCGTGTATACACTACATAGGAAAAGTATAATCTTTGAAGCCAATTATCTCTCACGTTCGGAACGGTCAATTTTTTTAAAACTTGACCAGTGTGTAAATATTCCATTTATTAACGTATATCCAAAGTTTCAACTTTTTCGTGTTAAATGCAATTCGCGCTACAACGTCCTTAAACGTCTTTCTCGAGAATTCCCGAAACGAGGCAAAAATCGGCAACAAATACGTATGTATCTATGGATACGCGGCTCTCATAAAGTATACAATCGCTATTTAACAACACGACTGCGCCGGCTCGATAAACCTACGTAATCCGTTGCTTAGCTAGCACTGTTGCTCAGTCAACAAAGAGATACGAGGCGATAGTAGTAGGCTTCTCGTTCGCGCTTTCAATTCGAAGAGCTCTATTGTCGAAGCCGCATCATTCGTCACGACACTTTTTAATCGTTCTGTCTCCGCAAAAGCGCAGATCAAACGCCTCGTGTGTGGGAATTACACGGGTCGCATGAGTGAAACAAAGTAAAAGAAGACTAGGATCAAAAATGAAAAGAATGGGAAACGACAAGAGAAATCGCGGAAGTGCGAGCCACAGAGAGAAGGCAGAAATCGATTCGTGATGAGTAGAACTCACACTCTTTACTCTTCCTCATACCTTCTCCAATTATTCGCCTGTGCGACATTAATTAAGCAAGATAATTTGCTCTTGAACGGCGTACTACCCAATATGGCGTCCACGTCGCCGTTCTCGCGTTCATATTTTAATGATTTGAATATGCTCAAGGATATGGCTCTAGCTGGAAATGTAATTCCATCTACGTTAAAAAAAAAAAAGAAAGAAAGATCCGAAGATTAAGAGAAAAACGTTTATGTGTAAAATCTGCCGTCTGTCTGCATAAGCACTTTTTTAGACGTATCAAAAACTTAAGAAGTAAGGAGATGCAAAAACTAAAAAAAAGTAATACATAAGTAAATAAATAATAGTATGACAATGGCATGAGATTGAATAAATGATGAAAACTTTGCGGGAAAAATACATATTAGATCACTGCAAGTCCTCTGAAGCAGAGAACGAAAAAATACGATACAAGAAGAGATTTTAAAAGAGAGAAAAAACAGAGCTAAAAAAAGAAACAGGTGCATCGTTAGTGCACTGGCAGCAACTTGTTATCATGTCGCTTCGTAATTATTATTATACACTGCTGCCAGACAACAATATACATAGAATGTGAAGTGCATCAGACGAGTGCATTTTATGCATGCTTAATATCGGCGCGCCGATTTCATTTATAAGTAATTGCAATAAACATAACAACAGTAATGACGACCATCGCATTTTCTACGATACTCTTCATTTCGTCTCATACCGAGTTTCGTCTAATCATCGTTTTTAATGAACGATGCGTATATATATGTGAGTGAACGAGATAAATGCGATTCGTATTGCGCATTTTCTACACTTTCTACAATATTAATATCGATTTAAAACCAAGATTACACATTTAATGAATTTAAGAGCATGATAAACAAAAGAAAATAAAGTTTGCAAAATATCGACAATTTGTTTGCCAAAACTGCCAATGCAATTTGTAATATAATAATAACAAAAACAGCTAACTATTTACAATCATGTAGTTTTAGTTCTATATGTACGACGGAGTTTGTTTTACTATGACACATCCAATTGCTAATAAGTCTGTGCCTATTACCTATTAACGATGACATCTCACGCAGCAATTATATATTACTTATGGATTGTCGATAAAAAATGAATATTTCACGATGAAAATTAATAAAATGAACTTTTATTTACAAGTAAACCTACCTTTGTGTTAATCGCCGATTTTATTGAAATTTGGTAAACTTATAGAGTAGTCAAAAATAATAGACACATATTTTTTTATATCGGCAATGGTGCAACTTTAACAATGAAACTTATCTCTTGTATTTATAAGTATCAACAAATAATTCGTTGCATTTAAGCTATGGTTCAACTTCAAAATTTAAAGTGGCATAAGTTTTTATATATAGTATAAAGAATCTTGAATGGCATGTTTTATCAGATTCTCTAATTAGAAACTGAATTTGTTCTCATCATAGCTGATTACAGATTCCAAATCATATTGCAGATGATCAAAGGCCATTGCTAACAATTTCAAAATATTTTTTGGATTGAGCGGCATTTTATTTTACAAGTCAAAAAAAAAAAAAAAAACAAATCCGGTAGTTAATCGCGTGCTTGTACTTTGAGGATCCAATAAATATTGAAGGGACCAAATTTGAAAAACTCGCAAATTCTTGATTACGTTGAGATCAATTGTAGTTACTATATAATAAAATTGTGTGTAAAATAGACGGGGCAATTTCTTACAATTTGCGACTCAGAAGAAAGGTCAACCAAAATGGAAGACCAAACAGAAAACTCTGGTTCACGCAGAAAGTCAAATCTCTAGCAGCAGAGAAAAGAAAATCGTATCTCCAATACAGAAAAAAAACTGTCACGTACGACCAAAAGCGTAAGGAATTAATACAGTAAACAAGAAAATTAAGTCGATTAAACATAATTTTTAGAAAAAATTCTCATTAAATGAAGCATCTATATGGCAGCCAAAGAAGAGTGTGGAATATGCTCAAAAACCGCAGAAAACTTATCAACAAATACATTAACAACAATGCAAAACAAAT